CGCTGTTATACACTAAAAATGATTGTTATACACTAAACAATACCGCTGTTATACACTAAACAATACCGCTGTTATACACTAAATTCACGCTGACCCTAAAAACAGCACCATGACACCCACAGCAACAGCAGAAGTACAGTGGACAGCAGAGACTGAATATACAGACTCACTTCCTGTCGGTGTGGTCGAGGCCGCTGAGCCGGACGCCTTCGATCTGCTCGTTGCGTTGACCGCAGGTGTTGCCGTAGCTGTCATATCCAAAGACGAGGCGAGCGGCGCCGCCGGTGACGATGGTGAAGCCGCAGATGCTGCCCTGCAGGAGGGAAAGACGACCGCTGTTAGTGAAGACACTGAGACCGAAAAAGACAACGTGCTGAGGATAAATCTGGTCCACATCTCACAAATGCTAGTACAGAGAGGTAAAAATACCACCTTAATAAGTTCAAAAATACCTACACATTCACTGTGATGTCAGGATGTACACTGTGATGTCAGGATGTACACTGTGATGTCAGCATGTACACCGTGATGTCAGCATGTACACTGTGATGTCAATGAGGTGAGTCACTTCTAAAAGTGACATCATGACCACAGCTGTGACATCACTGTCCATCAGTTGGTTGATGTCAGCACAGAAACTGAAGTGTCCCAGTCAACCTGAACACACCACGATCACTTCACTGACTGCATCTTTAACTCACTGAAGGTCAATCAGTTCTCATCAATCATCATTATTTGACTATTGATTAACCTAATTACTGTATTGATTGTTGTTGTTGTTGTCCAACAGAGCAACAAACATTCAGTTCACTGAGGTGATTGATTATTTCTCTCCATCAATCAATCAATCAATCAATCAATCAATCAATCAATCAGCTCCTTTATAAACACATTTACGCTGTTGTTGTTGTTGTTGTTGTTGTATAAAGGTGTAGTGAGAACGAGGCTCTGCTGGTTACCATGCCGACGCAGAAGACGGTGAAGAGCAGGAACCAGGGCAGGTCTGTGCAGCTCCGGTCCTCCAGCGGTCTCCATTCTCTCTTTGTCCTCTGAAACACACAAACACACGGTCACACCGGGACCGGAGCCGGGCCTGCGGGACCGGGCCGGGCCGAGCCGAGCCGGGTCTGCCCGTCCCCGGCCTGTTAGCTCGGCTCGGCCCGGTTTTCATCACTAATCAGCTCACACAGGGCGGCTGTTTACCGGAGACAGGCCCCGGTAATTGGATTACAGCTGCTGGCTCTAATCCCAGCTCGGCCCTCTCTGCTGCCCGGGACCGGTTTCCCTTTTCACGGGGAACAAATAAACCCGTACCGGGGCTCTGCTGAAGGGCACCGGGGGGGTGGAGGAGGGGGAGGACGGAACCGAACCGAGCCGAGCCGAACCGGACCGGGCCGTTCTTACCTCCGCGCTACCGCAGCATCCCATTGCAGTCAGGGTGGACGTTAACCGGAGCTTCACGGAGCTTCACGGAGCCTCACGGAGCTTCAGCTCAGCAGCAGCGGGGTTCTGGAGCCCGACAGCGGGGTTCTGGAGCCCGACAGGCGGGGGGAGGAGACGGACTGCCCCGCGCTCTGCCTGCATGCACTCACTGCGCAGCGGCGCGATCCCGGAGGCCGAGCCCGGAGCGGAGACGGTGCCGACGGTCAGACTGAGCGCTCCGACCCGCTGAGCATGCTACTGTCGGTGCCTCTCCGGTTACCGTACCGAGCGGGGATTAACAGCCGAGGATTTGTCCGCCACACTTCCTGGTGGGCCGTCAGGTGCAGCGGCCATTCATCTCATTGCGCTTGCGCAATTAGTGTCCGTGTCTGTGGAGCGCAGGAGCTGCAGGTGTAATACCCGCTGTGACCACTGAGTGCAGTCTAATGACAGAGTGGCGCTGTTTCCACTGAGGGGACCTCTTTTCGCTACTTTATTTAGAAAAACAATTAACAACGTTTTTATTTTTATATATAATATTTTTACAATATAAACTTTTTTTAATAATTATTATATAATATAATATACACATAATTAATATCTATAGGTATGTTTTCATTAGTTTTTAATCAGCTGACAATAACAATCATTGTGTGTTTGTTACCTCAGAATGAGATGTTATTTATCTACAGAGGGAGCGGGTCGTCTTCTGGCGGAGTCCGCCATGTTGAACCACCATGAACGGATCTAGATTGGGGCTTTGTGTTTTTTGGCGTGCTTCGTGGTAAATGGACCTGTACTTGTATAGAGCCTTTCTAGTCTTCTGACCACTCAAAGCGCTTTTACAGTACGTGCCACTTTCACACACGTCCATCGAACAGAAACTAACTCATTCATTCACATTCACACACCGATGTGAGCAATTTGGGGTTCAGTATCTTGCTCAAAGATACTTCGACACGTGACAGGAGTAGCCAGGGATCGAATAAACAACCTTCCGATTGGGGGACGACCCGCTCTGCCTCTGAGCCACAGCCGCCCACGTGGGCCACTAGTTTATCACGGTTGGTAAGGGGAGGGGAGGGGAAAAGTGTAGTGTAGTGTAAACTACCCCACTAGAAGACACTAAATCCTACGTGCTGGTCCTTTAACTTTCTCTAAATTCTGACTTTGTGATGTTAAAAATTATGACTCAGGTTGAAGGTTTCTCATTATTTTGAGATTCTAAATCAAAATAAAGAGGAATTGTCTCCTTATAATGATTTACAGAATCTTTTTTGGGGCTTATAAAAAGTGAAATAATAAAGAAGAAAAAATAAAATGTCTTCAAGAAAACATCTGAGAATAAATTTGACCCTCTAACATAAATTTATAATTCTTTCAATATTTTAGAGACATTCAGTCTGAATGAGGAAGAAGCTATTAACAAATACAGATACAAACATAAAGGAAAGAAATCAATTAAACTGGTGGAAATAAACACAACAGCAGACAGTAACTGATAATTAATCAAACAAACAGTAAAAACCAACAGAAACTGACGAGGAGCAAAGTATGAGACAATAAACAGGAAAGATATTCTACTCATGTATTTAATGTAGATTTCAACGAGTTAAAGTAGTAAAGAGGCAGACCTGCGTTTTCCAAAATAGATTAACAGGATGTGAAACGTTTGCATCCATAAGATCAATGATATCATTGTGATATGAAGAATTATTGATTTCTAACGACAACCAATCAGAGACGTCACAGCTAACAGACGAGGTTGAGTTCAGAAATTTCACTTTGTGGATGTAAAACTTTATAATAAATTAAAATGAATGTTCACGTTGTTCTAATTACAGCCGACGTAAGAAATCAGTGATTCAATCATGAGTTATGATCAATAATACTTTATTTTCTCTAAGAATCTTTAAATGTTTGTTGGATATTTTCTGTAGTTTATTCATCCAGTAAAGTGCTGACTGTATTTAATACTTGTAATATAATAATATTTAATATACAATGTTCTGAACTTCTTACTTGTAAATGTGCATTTTTACACATATTTAACGGATATTTTAACATTCCTATTATTATTGCTATTTCTTTTATTTCCTCCCCGGAGATCAATAAAGTTCACTGTGTAAAACATTGTACAGCTTTTGGGAATATTTGATATGTTTTTATTTATTTGTTCTTATTCACTCTGTTGTTTTATTCCTTTGTCACATTGTTAAGATTGTATAAATAAAGTTTATTTTTATTATTATTCCAGTTTGATCCACTGACTCATTTTCTTTAAGTCGACTTTATAT